AGGAAGGAGTTGGTAGCAGACAAGTCATTCAGCAATGAAACTTCCATGGCGTAGATTGACCTTTCATGAATCTGTCTTGAAGAGTGAGATCGTTATTGCATAGATAAGGTGCCTATCTCTACACGTCCACAATGAGATCAGAAAAGCAAGGAGCTTTCGCTTCGCACCTTGGTATGGTCCACTTGATGAGTATCTCTGGAATTTCTCTTCAAAATTGTAAACAGAAGGTCTTACTCCATACCGTTGAATGCGTGTGGTCAACTGTGTAATCGAGGAAGCCAACATTGACTGACTTTCATGGTTAAGGTTCGAAAGACGAAGAACCAACAAGATAGGGCGCTTTCCCCTCTTCTCTAACTAAGAGGAGAAGCAGAACATGTAGCTTTTCATCCTTGTTTGATCATCCTATCAGTCATGGTAACGGATTGAGTCTCTATCTTTCGGTAGCTGGTTTGACTCTTTGTGATCGAACAAAACAAAACATAAAGAAATATCGTAGTGTAAGGGTAAAAGTAGTATCACCCTAAAAGCAGTCTATAGGGGTAATAACAGGGTAGGTGTGTATTTTCATCGAGATTGGGTTGAACAACTAATTTTCCCGAGAAATGCTTTCCAGTTTCCTTTGTGCATCTTTCTTTTCCTTCGTCTGGTGTAAGCTAGACCAGCATCCGAAGCGTGCGAATCCACGCAAGCCATTGCGAAAGCCTCTGTCTTAGCATAAGAGCAAGAGGTTCCAACCCCCAGGGTGTGCCCACAAAAGGGGAAAACTTAATTAAACAGAAGCCCCGTTTTCTTACCAGGGAAGTGCTGCGCTTTTCAGCACCTTTGGCAGACCGATAAGAGTCTCGATTTATTTCAACAGATCTTGGTTCGGGTGCTCTTTCTTCTTCTGAGTGAGTGGATTAGCTAGACCCGCCTTTCTCTGTAGAACATGGATCTCTTCTTTCTACGGCGACGTATGCCTATCTTTAAACGCCCGCCCATCCCTATCCTGGGAATCCGGTGTCTGGACGTGCCACTGCCACCAAAGAATCTGTTTTGCTTCGTGAGAAAGGGAGTATGTTAGATAGAAAGAGCTACAAAAGGTGTATCGGATATTTTATATTTCAAATAGCGCTTTGACGGACATAGGTATACAAAAACTGTCAAATTTCATTGCCTCCCTAGAGGTCAAAACTCTATCTCTTTTTATTCAATCATTGGAAGGCCAGAGGACGCATTCTTGTTGGCAGCAGTGCCATAAATACCGGCTTTTACTGCAAAGCAGACCAGTAGTACCATTAAAAACTTTCTAAGTCCAAGTTCTTTCTGAGTCCTAAGACTCGGATTCGTACTATTAGTTCAATAAAAGCAATTACCAATATTTGTCATACCAATGATATTGGTAAGTACTTTAGGAGTGCCTTTGATTCACAAAAGAGTGTCAAGAAAGAAAACTAACTACATAATGAAGAAAGTGCAGCAAAGACTTGCAGGTTGGAAAGCCAAGTGGATCTATTTAGCTGGTAGAACGTCCCTCTATCATCCAATGTTGGTGGAGGTTTGACGATGGTTCAGTCAATGATTAAAAAACAATTGTTTCAGTTGCTTGGTTCTTCTCTTAAGAACTCAACTGGGAAGGCTTCTGCTCGATGATGTCATCTTGGTCCACCGATTTCATTGGGACGGCTTCGGCCCACTTAGAATAGAAAGAATAGGAAGACAAACTATCCAGAAAGATAGACAGAAAAAGAGAGAGACCTTACACCGAAACAAGGGACTAAGGGCTAGGGGATATGGGCATAGGGGCTACGGGAAGACGTACGATAGGCTGGGTAGGATCCGTACTGGACGGAAATAGAATCTTTCCTACTTTGAATACGGAATAGCCAGAGAGATAAGTAACGTAGTCACCGATTGGAAGACTTCGACGGCTTAGAAAGAGAAAAAGTACTCGCTCACTGGAGCAATAAAGAAAAGAAGCGTACGGCTTACTAAGACACTAGGCAATGAGCCCGCATACACATTCACTCGCTATAAGACTCACTTACAACAATGGGAGAGACTACCAAGACTGAATGCTTAGAAGAATGGAAGAAAAGATTCCAAGAACTACAGTAAGAAGGAAATCACCAAGCAAGACGGAGATTTGAAGGAAATGCCCCTTACACGACTCGTAGCAATACATGGAAAGCTTCCAAGGAGATATGGAATATCAAGAAGGATAGGGCAATGGGTATGGTGCCTAGGCCTGCAACCTCATAACCTAGAGCTGATGCTGATGCCCCGAGTCGCGGATATTACGATTACAGAGGTTACGAAGTAAAAGAGTAGAGGAATGGTGGTGAAAGAAAGAGCCCCACCTAGACGTCTGCTTTGGATTCGCTTTCTTCCAGTCCTTTTCTCAGTCGAAGTGATCGCTCTATTCCGTCAGTCTTCGAAGGCAGCGGCAAGACCTTTTGCTGGAGTTGACTTTTCCGTCTCGTAGGAAAGATCGTCTTATAGTATGTAGGTTAGTCAAATCCGTCAAGCATGCCAGTCCAAGGTACCGAGTCCTTTTTCTAGCAGTCATTGCGTAATCGCTAAGCAGCCCATCGGTCGAAGCTAGGGGCTTTAGCCTTACCTTGCCTTCAAATCAATCATATCAGTAATCGAATGAGTAATTGAATCAGCCTTTCAGCCTAGTCTTCGAGTCTTCCAAGTCTTCTAGCTCTCTAGGCTCTCCTAACCCTAACAAGCTTTCCAGTTTAGTTGTCCAAGCTCTAACTTATCCTTCCAGCGGTTAAGCTTTCGATGTAATCTATCCGCCCTTAGTTCATTCCGTACGTCTGTGTAGTCAGTCATTGTCTTATACGTCTTTCACTATTCAAGTAAGGAGCTCAGGGGCCTGTGTGCCTTGTTTCCAAGATCCGGTGGATAGCTTTCCTATTCCCTCGGGCTTTCAGATGGAGGGGCAGTCTTAATTCATCAACCAAAGATGAAAGTAAGAGAGGCTATTATTAAGATTCTTTGATCCCGAAAGCCCAACACTCGGCCTAGGAATTCTTGTCCGAACCTTCCATCCGTAAGCCAATCAATCGAAAAGACAAGACAAGTCAGCCATCATTCGACACCTTCCGCCGATAAAGCATGCTATCAAAAGAAAGAGTCACCCAAGAAGGCGAAACTTCACCTGTCGCAGAACCGTAACCCATCACTTGGCCTCTCCCTTCATGTGCATGCCTAGATCTTCGTCATTCTCTTCCACCGAAAGCAAGAATGGCATAATCAATCGCATCTGCAACCGAAACCCAAGCTGGCGAATAAGCAAGTGATTGGTCTTTTTTTAGTCTTTATTAGCTTGATCGGCAACTGGGACACAAACGAAGGAACTTTTAGAATGACTTCAATTGACACACAAAGAAGTACCCTGCTTTTGACCAACTATTCCATAGCTTCGACGACTGCCTTGCCTTGACCTTCCCTTGTTCTACCCTCGGAGATTGAAAGGTGATTGAAGAAGATAACTCTATGCAGTGACAGAGGGAGGTAATATCATAATAGAGTAAAAATCACGATTAGAGTCAGTCCGGATAAAAGAATCCAATCCGCAACTAGTCTTGGAGTGAAAGAACCTGGGAATCCCCTTTTTAATAGAATAGAATCCGGAAGAGGCTCGACGGGAGCGGACTCGTAATCGTGTGGACGCCTTCTTACACAACTGAAGGGACAGATTTCGAGCGAGCGGATTGCTTCTCTGGAGAAAGATGGGCTGACCATGATGGAAGGGCAAGGACCCCAAGAAGAAGCCAAGCCTGAGGCCAAGAAAAGCGAGCTCAAGATCAGGAGCCAAAGCGGACCGAGAAGAAAGAAGAAACGCAAGTTGCCAATTTTGGGGCAGTGACCCGGAAGAAAGAAACCAAGGACTGACCGGAGGGCTAGTTACCCGTTACTGCTTCAGGGAGTGACCGATGCTAAGAGGGAAGCGAAACGCTATGTTACCCGCGAGATATCCGCTTTCTTTCTTCCTGCAGTGGTAGCGACACTACCGATGTGTAAAGATCAACTCCTGCTTCTCTGTCTTCTTCAGTTAAGTCAGTTCAGCTGGGCCTATTTGTATAGCAAAGAGCGCCTTCTGTTACTCTTCTTTGTTGAATGGAGCCGAGGTCGGCGAACGAATGTTATTAGCTATTTCCTCTAATTGTATTTCTCGCATTCTGCTAGGCCTCTGGGCCTATGTTCTAAATGAAAGAGCTATGGACTGAAAACCTAAAGGGAAGTAGTTCCCGCATCTGCTAATTCAGTCTGCTGTGGATTTACCGGCTTCCAAGTCAGCAAAGTCTAAAGGGAAAGCTAAACCTGGAGTTCGAGTCGGAAATCTGTATTATCTTCTTAAATAAAGCCAAGTAAATCCAAGTAAAGTAGCTAGTGCATCTCCTTTCTTGCAGAACCTCTGCTGCGAGGGAAAGGGTGGTGACTTCTAAGGCGAGTAGTTTCGGTTCGAGGACCTATAGTTTATAAGGGTGGTGACTACCTATGTGTCAAGCAAAGAAAGCTAGGCCTAGTACTTCCTATTTGAAGTGAAGAGAGCCCTGGGAAGAGATGAGTTCAACCTGGAGTGAAACCTAAGGAAGCAGCTCAGTCTAGTTCTTTCAAGGCTTAGTTTAGCGTCAGTTGCAGGATTGGGAGTGTAGTGAGGATAGCCCAGGTGGGCGACCGAATGAAGTGAGTTACGAGTTACCGATGCTGGTAGTTTCCGTTACTACGGCTGATAAATAAGCGCCTCAGTGTAAAGAAAAGCTAAACGAGTAGCGTCAGTCTGAAACCCTCCACCGAAAAACAATTGTGTGAAAAAGAAACTCTCTTTTTAAAAGTTCTGTTAGGTTCTTAGTAGCTCGGAAACCTTTATCTGGACATTAAGAGCGTCAAGGATTAGAGCGGATACAAGACAGTCCCTTCCCTTCCATCCAACTACACGGGACTCCTCCTAAAAAAGCGCGTAAGGGGCCACCCACTCTTTCCCCTTGCCCCTCTCACTCATATGCCCGATACACATATGCGGGTAGATTCAGATGCATTTCGAGTCCTATTTTAAGGCACATAAGCCCATGGAGTTCTAATGCCAGTTCCCAGCGATCCAGTTAGAGGAGTGGCAGTTGTGGGAATAGCAGTATCTTTTATATTTTCAATAGACCCAGTATCCATATTTGTATAAGTTCCAATAGAGAGATTCAAAATAGGACCAGGATCCTCTCAGGTCACCAGCAATCCTCCCGTCACCACTCAGAATGCAGTTTACATCACCATCCCAGAGTCCCAAGAGGGTAATCAGGATGACAAGTTGAAGAAAAAAGCCGAAGAAAAGAAGGTAGCCAATCAGCTAGAGAGCTTAGAAGAAAAGGTCAAAAGCCTACAGGGGATCGACTCTTATGGCAGTACCAGTTTCTCTGACCTATGCTTTTCCCGGATATGAAACTCCCCCACAAGTTCAAAACTCCAGACTTAGACAAATATGATGGAACAGGCTGTCCTTTTACCCATTTGAAAGTCTATTGTGGAGAAATGTGTTTATACGGCGATAATGAAAGACTACTCATCCAGCAATTCCAAAAAAAGTCTGACCGGCCCTGCTCAGAGGTGGTTCGTCCAGTTAGACCACAGCCGGATCCGAACATGGTCTAACCTAGCCACTTCCTTCCTGTCACAATACAAGTTCAACACTGAAATGGCACCGGACCGCTCCAACGTATGCAGAAAAAGGGTAGCGAGTCATTCAGGGCATACGCCCAACGATGGAGGGAACTCGCAGCACAGGTCAAACCCCCGATGGTTGAAAAAGAGATGGTCGGTGCTTTCCTCAACACATTGAAAGATCCATACTACTCCCACCTTATCGGGCACACTACGTCAAGTTTCGCAGACCTGGTCATAGTAGGTGAGCGAGTGGAAGATGGAGTCAAATCAGGGCGCCTGGTTGACATACAGGCATTGCAGTCGCTGCTGGAACAGTCAGGAACGAGCACTATCCCGAGGAGGGTACAGACCAAAAGAACAGAAACCGGGCCGAAAGGAGGAGAAGTTCAGGTCATCACCTCCGCCCGAAATGACCATCCACAAAAGCAGAGAATATACGTACAGCCATCCACTCAGCGGCCCCTTATATTATCACCAGGACAGGGTCAGCAGACTAACCGGATTCAGATTCCTCAACCACAAGCACCAACAGGAGAAGGCACGAGACCTAATCCATCACCTCCCAAAAAGGAACAAAGAAAGTTTGATCCAGATTACTATCACATGGGAAGTCCAGGTCATACGACTGACAGATGTTTCGCTTTAAGACACAAGATCCAAGATCTCCGAGAACAACACCTGCTACGCTTTGAACTTGAGAATTGAAAACAGAGAATGATCTCCCTGAAATCAACATGGTTCGCTCGGCAGGCCCCTCAGAATCGAAACCATCTCAGCCCACTGGCACAACACAACATCAGCCAGCATTCACACTTACTGCTCTTGCCCCTCAAATCAAGAATGGAACACTTCGGCCCGCTGCAGCCTCTGAATTCCCCATCATCGCCTACTCTTTGGATGGATCACCCATCTATCAAGGGAAGACTGAATCAGGCCACATATGGTGGGACATCTGCGACTGTGATGATTGTTTCCAAAATGCACAAGAAACTGATCTCGAGCTCGAAGCCGAGAGAGAACGGAAGCCTAAGCCGAGAAAGAATAAAACTTATCAGCAAAAATGACGGGAACGATATGAAGCAGGAGATCCTGAGGTAGACCTTCTCGGAGACCCATCAGGAAAGTTTGATTATCTTGTCCTTTACCCGAGAAGAAACATGGCGGCTCTAGCTCCACCTCCAATGATACCTCATCCACAGTGGTCCACTGACCCTCCCACTGGGCCGGGCCCCATGATGCGTCTACTCACAGAAGTGACCACAGCTGTCAACTCTATACCTTGCGAGTCAGTGGAAGAATCACCTCCAGAAGACCCTGACCAAAGCTATCGCATGATCGAAATGCAAGAGTATATCGAGCGGCAATGCATGAAGCAGAGAAGGGAAGACTTTCGGGATTTAATCATTTCACATGAGCGCAAAGCTGATGAAGCGGCATCCTCTGGTAACAGAGCCCGAAGTAGGAAAGTTCGATCCATCCCAACTCATTACACCTCCGCGAACTCGTGTTCAGCTAAAGATTAAGGAGGAAGAAGGTTTGCCTGAAATCTCCATGATAACCTCAGCAAAGCCGAAGGCAACAAAACCATGGAATGGGTTCCAGTGGACAACATTGTTAAACATGGCCCTTCAACTCCTCACCCGCTGAAAACTAACACTTGAGACAGATATGGCGTAGACACGGCTAGAGATCGATTGAGGACCTCCACCAGCCTAGCTAATAGATAACTTCTCTCTTCCCGTTATCACCCTTACTTGAGTGAGGAACCCTTGCGAATAAGGGGTCCGAACGGTACCTCATTCTCTTATAAGAACCCTTCTTCCTTCACTTCACTGAAAGCCTAATAAGGGGGCGGATAAGACTGAAAGAAGGGTTACATCCGGGAGTGATCTACGAGAGTTCGCACATAGCCTTATTAATATTCCTATCCCGGTGCTCAATAAGGTCCGGGGCATAAGCTGCTTCCAGAGCAGAGGTTGCGAAGCTAACAAGCCTACAAGCCAAAGCAGGGGCAGTGTGTCGAGATAAAAGCAATAAAGAGCTGAGGAACGAAGAACCGCGGGTGGAAGCACTAGGAGAAAGCTAAATAGTTCAGCGCGCAATACAATAAGGCTTATGTTACACAGATGGGGATCCCAAGGAGAGGGCTTTACTAATAATAGTAAAGGTAGGGGACCGAGAATACAACAATCAGGGTTGTCGTAGAGTAGATCAGGCTCTCATCAGACCTAAGATGCTGCTCTTACCCTTAGTGGTTCTCAACTAGAAGGAAAATTAGTTGATCTGGAGTTGTCGTAGATAAGGGGGTCAGGAATCAATGATTCTTGCTTCTGACTTTCCACGATTGAAGTGGAAAGGGGGCCGCCGATGCACGTCCGAACCAGCGACAAAGACAAATCTGCAGTTCTAAATAGGAAAGAAAGGAATCCGGTCTCCCCCCTGAGGGTAAGAAAGAAGGTCCCGATTGTAGGGTCTGTAAGATGGTATGGTTGCAAGCTAGCAAGACAATAAGAGAGAGTTCCCCCTATCAAGGAAGATGGGTTTTTTCTCTGGTGCTTTGCACTCTCCTTAATGTACTTACAGCTCAACGTTGTGTTGTCTTCCCGGTAAGTAGGACCAAGGAAGCCTATCTCCCCTTTCTCATAATAGTGGTGAATCTCAATCATAGAAACAAAATGACCAGGTTCCGTTTCTGTTTCTATGCCTATTTCTCTGTACAGAAAAGATGAGTTTAGTTACCTTGATGATACCACTTCCAACTCCAAATCCAAATCCAAAACATCTCAATACTGGTACAAGTGGAAAGTTTAGACCCTCAAGAAAGTGATTTTATGATATGAGCAAGCCAGAAAGGGGAAGTGTAACCATAACCTCTTTTGAAGGCAAAGCAAGTAAAGCCAGCAAGTTCTGACTTCCCTTTTTTTTCCTTGGATGTGGCTAATTTGTCTAGTCCCATCGAAACAGTTGAATTTAAGTCCTTCCTTATCGATGGGATATTACCTCCTGTATTAGCATATTCCATTCTAGCATATCTTATTTCCAGTAGTACATAAAACCCCTGAGTCTGTGGAAGCCAGTGAGGCTAGTGAAGAGGGGTATCCAGTTACAATTACAGTTTTAGTTGCTTCTCTCTTCCCTAGAGTTTTACAAAAAAGCCCAACAACGGGCAAGAGACTAAGTGTACCAAAACCTATTAGCAATGAGATTTGATAAAAGTCTTCCATTTTGTTTTCGGAAAAAAAGAGATTCCTATTCTGCATCTCACTAGCCTTATTACCAAAACAGGTAAGCTAGCAGGGGAGCCCGCATATATATATGTTTTGAAGGTGCAGAAATTTATTGGTGGGTCTCCGAGGCGGAAGGAAGACCCGCAGTATAAGTAGGGAGGGGTTTACCCTCCACAAAATAAGGGATTACTCAAAACCCCTTTTTTTTTATTTTTCATATTAAAGCGCTTTCTTTTAAAAATGCATCTGGTTCCATCTTTCTTTCGTTAGTTAACCCACCTTTTTCTAAAAGGGATTGTAGTAATTCTGGTTTTACACTATTTGGAATGGCTCTCTCATATTGAGAGATTCTGTCTAGTGGCATTCGATCACAGAATCCATTGACAGCTGCATAAATGACTAGAATTTGTTTTTCAATTGGAAGTGGTGCATATTGTGGTTGTTTCGGTACTTCTGTAAGCCTTGCACCTCTATTGAGTAATGCCTGAGTCGCAGCATCAAGGTCTGACCCAAATTGAGCAAGGGCGGCCACTTCGCGATATTGTGCCAATTCCAGTTTTGAACTACCGCAGACTTGTTTCATAATTTTCAACTGAGCGGCAGACCCAACGCGACTGACAGATAAGCCGACGTTAATAGCGGTATCACTACCAAAGACAACAATCCCTACATTCTCATTCTCAAGATTCAACGCTATTCTTTTCACACCTTGGGCGGCTTAAGCCCGGTGCTTAACTTTACGCCCTCTCTCCACCCGTATGTGAGATCGATCGGCAGACCCAGACTTTGGTTCCACTCGATGATCTCACACAAGACAGAATGGTGGAGAAAAAGGCTTTTAAACAAATAAATAAACAATAGAAGTACAACTAGGACAAATACACCCATAATAATGGCAAATCGTTTCTCGAATAAGAACAAAAGACGTTCTACGGGTACGCTCACGTTAGGGGCAGCCTTCTCACCCAGCAGCGGCGAGGACTTCTCCCCCTTTTGAGAGGTACCACACCCGAAAATTCCAATACGAAGAAAATTTGCCAATATCCCCGTAGGTTAGCAAACTTCTCGCCTTTTTTAGGGCTCGGGACATCATGACCCATTCATATTCACTCGTAGTTCTGCTTCTTGCTCTAACAGAAAGACTTGTAGGAAATCTGGTTGGTCCAACCAAGAAAAACATGGGGGTTTTTGGGCATCTCACAGGAAATGGAACTTCTTTTCTTTACGTAATTTCAGCCTTCATCGAAAATCCTAATTTTCTGCTTTTTGCTCGTGCTTTAGCTTTTTTATCTCATCCGTATTCCGGTTCAAATGTGTTAAGTTTAAGTCAGGTAAGCGGGTGGAGAATAGCGAGGGAGAGGGCAGCGCCCCTTGCTGGATAGAATATCGAGAAGCACATGGGATTGGGGTGCTCTCTAAGTGAGGAGCCATGGAACTCTAGCTTAGATAGAAAGGGTTTTTAGGCCGGACAAAGGTCTAGGTTAAGTCCGGGAGAGAGGGCTTGATGAACACCACCTCCTGGTTAGTGATTGGGCACACGCTTCCTTTACGGCGTAGAATCGGCTTCTTTTTTTGACGTATCAGAAAGGGCTTCTCTTCTACGCCCGAAGTTTATATTTATGCAAGTATCTTCACTTCAATACCCAAAGTGGCCCTATACATTTAATGATAACCGAACCCAAGCAAGGAGCTTCAATCTTTTCTATTTCCTTGAGGTTGGAAAGTCTTTATTTTATGTGCCAACGCAGGCCTATCACCAAATCTCCACGGCGAAATCCTTTGTTGGAAGGCTTGCTGATTCATGATTTACACCTCTCTCCGCCGCTTCTTAACAGTTGACTGCGAGATTAGCACTTTCTTCGTTACTAACAGATATATCTTTTCCGCGCGAGCTAGTTCAACAGTTCATTCTTGTAAGCCCCTTTGTCAGCCACACTAAGACTTCGGGTCATCATGCACTGACACAATCATTATCTGAGGGCCTATGATCATCCAAAAGCAGTACCTGGCATACTCCTAATAATCAAAAGAAAAAGCCGGATTCGACTTCTTGTGTACAAGCAGAGCATCAACAATCCTTTTCGTTACCAATTACAAATGGTATAAACTACATCAAGGTCTGACCCAAATTGAGCAAGGGCGGCCACTTCGCGATATTGTGCCAATTCCAGTTTTGAACTACCGCAGACTTGTTTCATAATTTTCAACTGAGCGGCAGACCCAACGCGACTGACAGATAAGCCGACGTTAATAGCGGTATCACTACCAAAGACAACAATCCCTACATTCTCATTCTCAAGATTCAACGCTATTCTTTTCACACCTTGGGCGGCTTAAGCCCGGTGCTTAACTTTACGCCCTCTCTCCACCCGTATGTGAGATCGATCGGCAGACCCAGACTTTGGTTCCACTCGATGATCTCACACAAGACAGAATGGTGGAGAAAAAGGCTTTTAAACAAATAAATAAACAATAGAA